AAGCAACGTTTTTAAATTCTGCCCAGCCAATCAAATCTCCGGTGGCCAATCAGAAGCCCGGCTGGGCCAAAGCCCTACCTGGCCCCGCCCACTTCCTCAAAAACCTTCGGCAGGCACTGGGGAAGTTGTTGGTTGTTGTACTTCATGACCCACCTGTCGATATTATATTTGGAGCGCAGGGAAAGGCTGGCTCGGAAGTACTTGCTGGGGGAGTTCAGAGTCTCGGCGCAACCGGCGCAGGTCCCGTGTTTCTGCCATTCTTTCTCCCTGGGGGAGGAAGGAGCGGACGTCACCCCGGGCCGTCGCACGGCGGTTCCCTCCCCCTTCACGGTGATTCCCCCAAACATTTTTTTAACTTTACTTCTGTCCCACTTTGCCCCCCAAAGCAGCTCACGTCATTCTCCTCGCCTCTGTTTTATCCTCACGACAGTCCTGTGAGGTGGGCCAGGGTCAGGCCCGTAGCCAGGACTTTTAAAGTTGGGGGGGCACTTAAATTTCTTAGGGGGCACTGGCTGATTGATACCTGGCTCCTTCCCCACACCCGCTGCCACTCAGGGGCAATGTTCCCTGTAAGCTGTGGAGTCTTGTGAGCGGGAATTCTACTTTGTGAGCTCCCGGCATTAAAGTGGTGAGCGAGCCATTCGGCTGCTGCATCAATTAGTTTGCTCTGGAGCCCTCCTTCCTGAGCTAAGGCAAAGATGTGTGAGCTGGAGGCTAAAAAACTGTGAGCTAGCTCACACCAACTCAGCTTAGAGGGAGCACTGCTCAGGGCCCCCGGGCTGGACGGGAACTTGTTAGGCCTTGCCTGTAAGTGAGGGGGCCTAGCCCCGAGGTGCCCCCACTGTAGCTGTGGGCCTGGCCAGGGTGCATTGCTATGCTGCAGGAAAGGCCGAAGGGACCACTGATTTCCCCCCCTTGCCCATATAAGGGCAGTGACATCGAACTGAGGAAGCGCCAGGATTCCCTGATGGAACCTGTACGGCAACTGACCAGGGAGAGTCCCAGAGACATCTGGTAACCCGATGGTGCAGTTGCACTGCCGAGCCCTGACTCTGCACCAGGGAAGCTGAAACCTCAGGAGGCAGAACGTCCCATCTAGCCCAGTTCCCCCAACAGTGAGAGGGAGAGAACAGAGTCTTTGCATTTGGTTCAGAGGTCTGTGGGCTGACAAACTGTTTGGAAGGAAGAACGACAGCGCCAGGCGGAACAGATGGCACTGAGTGGCTATGACACCATTATACGTCATCTTTATGGAAGATCTATTCGGAACATCTAGAGCACATAATAACAACAAGAACAACAACAACAGTAATAATAATAATAATGTCGTAACGGCCGGCTCGCGCTCTAGGCGAAGGCCTAGTTCGCCTAGCGGGCGAGCCGGCCCTGGTAATATTGTAGAAATGGTTTTTAAATGGTTCTTAAATGTGTTTTATGCGCTGGCTTATGCCTGTTTGTGAGCCGCCCTGAGCCCGCGTTGCGAGGAGGGCGGGCTATAAATTGAATTTATAAATAAATAAAAAAGAAGAAGAAGAGGTCTGTGGGCTGACAAACTGTTTTGGAACAGAGAAGCAGCAGCAGCTGTGGAGTCTCGTGAGCAAAAATTCTACTTTGTGAGCTGCCGGCATTAAAGTGGTGAGCGAGCGACTTGGCTCCTGTACAAGTCCGTTTGCTCTGGAGCCACATCCTTCCTGAGCGGAGACAGAAATGTGTGAGCTGGAGGCTAAAAAGCTGTGAGCTAGCTCACACTAACTCAGCTCGGAGGGAATACTGGCCGCAAGCCCATGGAACATCCTTTCCCCTCTTTTTCCTTCCCCTCTTTCTTTGTTTCCACCGCCGGGCATTTACCAGAACTGGAAATTGCTCAGGTTGGTGAAGGTGGGCCAGTACCGGGTCAGCTCGGGCATCAAGTCCTGCGTGGAGAATAAAAGAGACACCCACCATAGTCAGTCAATAAGGATGTACCTGGTGAATAACGGGGAGGGGAAGGGGAAGGGGAAGGAGTTTGTAAGCCCCTCTGAGACTCCAAGTGAAGGGCGGAGGGTATAAATCCAATCTCTTCCTCCTCTTCCTCCTCTTCTTCTTCTTCGTCTTCTTCATCAGGATCGGGGAGGGAAAAGAAGAAGGAGAAGGGCCGGACAACTGACCAATCTTGGGCTTGGAACCTGTTCCGCTCGTGGCATCCTGTTTCCGCTCAGAAGGCGCTCAGCACCAGAGGAAGGTGCTGCCCTTGGTGGAATATCTCCATGCAATCCTACCTCAGGACTGTAAACCGAGCAATTAAATGAGACCAATTAAACGAGGGGCAAGACCACTACGTGTGAGGTGGGAGAGAGAACCATGGGTCATCACTGTGTCTGAAAAAACAGCAGCGGCAGGAAAAGACACACGCCAAGGCAAGAGTGGGAGGGCTTCTGGAGTTCTGGCCTTGCTGGTGGACCTCCTGATGGCCCCTGGGTTTTGGCCACTGTGTGACACAGAGTGTTGGACTGGATGGGCTGTTGGCCGGATCTGTCATGGCTTCTCTTATGTGACAAAAATGTGTGAGCCGGAGGCCAAAAAACACTCACTCAGCTTAGAGGGGACACTGCGTCGGGACCGACAACCGCTTTTGTCAGCTCGCTTGCCTCGATAGCTTGTTCTGTACAGTGCCTGGCACAACACCCTAAATCAGCAGGGAGCCGGAGGGAAGGCCGAGAGAGACAGGGTTGAATGTGAGACTCGGCTCACGCCCTGCATTGATTCCCAGGGTCAGAACGCAGAGCTTCAGCCATTTTCAAGGTGCTGGTTTTAGACCTTTAAAGCCCTCTGCAGTCTGGAACCGACATATCTTTGGGACCGTCTCTCCCGGTATGTCCCCCAAAGAGCGTTATGCTCTGTGGATCAAAATCTGCTGGCGATCCCCTGTCCGAAAAACCTCCGCTTAGCCTCAACCAGAGACAGAGCCTTCTCAGCTATGGCACCACCCTGGCGGAACCAGGGGTCATTTCATAGGAAAAGAGGTGCAGGAGCTCATTAGTATAAATCAGGCCTCTGAATATGCACAAAATGAGTCTACTCACCACAAGGTCAGAAGGGAAGAGGCGCCAATAGGGACAGCACTGTATGACGTTGCGGGGCCTATGGAGGTCAAGGGCAGAGAAGGCACATAAGGTTTTCTGGAGAGCAAATTGAATGGTACAAAATGGATAGACAGAACTACATTTCCCAGGGTTCCCTTCGTTGGGAGCCATGACATCAGTGAAATAGGATTGACACTACTCCTAGAGAGCCAGCATGGTGTAGTGGTTAAAGTATCAGACTGGGATCTGGAAACCCAGCTTTGAAATCATACTCTGCCATGGGAACTTGCTGGTTGGCCTTGAGCCAGTCACAAGCTCCCAACCTGACCTACCTCACAGGGCGGTTGTGAGTACAGGCCCGCACAGAGAAAGGAAGGGCTACTTCCCATCTTCTACTTCCAGCTCTCCGGCAAGAAATGTAGATGACTTCCATCCCTGAACCTGGTTCTGATTTTTACCACATGTATTCTTCCCAGTTAATTGGGGTTGCCAACCTCCAGGGGGGCTCTGGAGCTCTCCTGGAATGCCAACTCTTCTCCAGGCTACAAAGAACAACCCCCCCTGGAGGAAATATCAACTTTGGCAGAGGGGATCTATGAAGCCAAATCCCCACTGAGCCCCCTCCCCTCCCAAAACCAGAGCCAGTCTGATGTAGTGGTTAAGTCCGTGGACTCTAATCAGGGGGAACTGAGTTCGATTCCCCACTCCTCCACTTGCACCTGGCTGGATGACCTTGGGCAAGCCCTAGTTCTGCCAGAACTGTTCCTGAAAGAGCAGTTTCTGTCAGAGCTCTCTCAGCCCCACCCACCCCACAGGGTGTCTGTTGTGGGGAGGGGAAGGGAAAGGAGTTTGTGAGTCATCTGAGACCTCCGAGTGAAG